TATACAATTAATATTCTAGAATATTAATTATAATGTTGTGCTACTTTTGGAACAATAAGATGATAAATTCTTAATTTAAAGTTCATAGAATAATATCTAAAATTATTCAATTAACATATAGACATTATATGAATTTATATAGAAAAATTAATTACCAAACATTCATTAAGAAAAAGAATCTCCATACATAAAAGTTAACAAAATTGACTAAATCATTTATTGGTTAAATCTTTTACCAACATGTAAAAGATACTAAACATGTATATGAATTTCATATATATAAAAATTAAATATATAACTAATATGTAACATATTCAAAAGACAGAATTAATACTGAATTATATGTGGAAAAATAATTGTGTATGAATAAAAAAGGTGAATTAATGTGTTCAGATTACACATACAAACGTGAATTAAAATTAATATGCATGCCGATGAAAAAAGAGAAGAAAAAGCAACCCCATTATGATGCATATGTATATTGAGATATTTCACATGCTACCAAATTAATTTTGGTACACATGATAAATATTCATGTCTATAAAAATTATTACCTTTACTAAACTTTGAAAAATTAAGCTATCGTGCTGATAACGTTTTATAAAAGTAAAGAACAGAGAAAAGAACGGAGAAAAGTCAATAGTCTTGTGTGTGTTTTATTAAGAACCAAAGCTTTGTATTTATAGGGCAGAATCAGGGATACAATAGTAATAATTTCTAGGACTACATGGGTATAATTGTCATTCACCTCTAAACTCTAATAAACTTATATTTTACAACAAGGTCTATTTATTTGACATGATTATTGCTGTTACTTTTACTTTTGCTTTTTATAGAAGAGTTTTTTAAGGAAACTACATTTATTTTTGTTTGGAAACTAATTTTCAAAAGAACTTCCTAATCTGAAAGTATTTTTAGAGGAAACATTGAACCAATTTTTTCTAAATCTCTTTTAACTAATAGAAGCATTTTTAATAAAATTAGTCAAATAGATCCAAAAGACAGCCTTTGAATCTCAAAAGTTCATTTTGACTTTTCAAAAATTATACCAAACATGCCATAACCATAAGATGGAGTCACTTAAAGCATTTCTAAGAGACTTTAATTTTTATAAAGTATCTTCAAAAGATTTTTTAGTTTTATATGGTATGATTATTTTAAGTAGTGGAGTATTGAAGTTTGCAATTTTGTTAAATGCATTCATGATTAAGAGTTTTTGGAGATGTTTTTAGAAGTTGATGGGGACAAATAAAGAACAAATCTTTATTATGACGACATAAAATTTAGAATCATTACTCATTTTCGCAAACAAAACCACACTCTTCATGTAAAGTACAAAACAAAGTATTAAAGAATTTCCTAAGAAAAGAATTGAGCATTTGTTAAAACTAAATAATTTTAATAAATCGAAATTGAACAAATTATAACGTGGGAACTTACAAATTGTGTTTTCGAACATATTAGCTTGGCCTTGTTCATTTTATCTTCCAGATCCTACTCTATCTCCATGGTGATGGTGATGAGATGAAGAATGCACGGACTTACTTTTGGATTCTTTTGGTTTTCTAATAGTTGCAATTTGCTCCAACGTCTCTGCAACTTCTTTCATTGAAGGCCGCTTTTTGGGTTCTGATTCAAGGCATCTCAAAGTGAGTTGAGCTGCATGTAATGCCGCCTTCGAAGAATATTTTCCCTCCATCCGTACATCCATAATGGATATTAGTTTCCTTTTCTGACAGAGAAAGGGTTTAGCATAATCAACCAAATTCTGCCGGCCACTAGGTCGTTTGGTATCAAGTGCACGTAAACCAGTCAACATCTCAAGCAGCACCACGCCAAAGCCATATACATCACTCTTTACGTAGAGATGACCTGTTTTCAAAATACCATATGCTTAAAAACATGGAATGGAGCGCGAGGATAAGTTCAATGCATTGTGAGCTTAAGTTCCAACACATTGAACTTGTTTCCAACACAGTTTTATCTATTCACCAATCTTCTTCCTCCCTTTCTTTTTCCATATAATTATTTCGTAGTGTTCACGATGCCAAACTAAAAGTGATAAGCACCCAAATCATTGCATCCTACAATAGAAATTTATTCGGACCTTTACACTACAATTAAGATCTAACTAGAATATTAATGAAAATTATAATGTGTTATTTTGAGATCACATTATATTTTACTATTACTTATTCAAAAACAATAGATCAATATTCTTCTAAAATATGAAAAATTTTAATGTAATGCTTTTCAGGAGCAATAACATATTATTGTTTACAGTAATAATCATGAAAGGATTCACTCTTCAAGAATAAAAAACATAATTTAAGGTTAGATCTTATATCATTATACTCTTTAAAAGCAATAAAATCTTACTAGAACATCAATATCTAAATACATATCCAGAAAAATGGACACATAAATAAATAGAGTAATTTAATTCATGATTTTACATATAATCGATCAATATTATTCAAAAATATTGAAATTATAATATTATATTCTTTTGGAGCAATTCATATTCTTTTTTAAAATATTAATAACATTGTGTTTCTTTAGTAACACTAACACAACTTTTTTTTAATATTATTATTTTTTTATATATAAAGTGTGCTTTCTTTAGGACACAACGAGACATATAATCTTCAAGAGCATAAATACAATATTCTTCTGAAATATTGACATTAACGATTCATTTTACCTTTCGAACTAAATAATAGAATTTATGCCCTACACAAGTAACAATGAAATATTCTTCTTGAATATTTATATAACGTGTGTTACGTTTCTTCGAGAACATCAACATTAAATTTGTTTAAAATAACTAAAATTTAAATTATGCTTCTTCAGAAGCATTGAGTCAATATTCTTTTGGAATATTGAACTTGTAATATCATGCTCTTTATAAGCAAGTAATATTCTTCTAAAATATTAATAATGTTGTTCTACTTTAGGAGCAACAACGAACTATTTATAATAGATAGATATACAATTAATATTCTAGAATATTAATTATAATGTTGTGCTACTTTTGGAACAATAAGATGATAAATTCTTAATTTAAAGTTCATAGAATAATATCTAAAATTATTCAATTAACATATAGACATTATATGAATTTATATAGAAAAATTAATTACCAAACATTCATTAAGAAAAAGAATCTCCATACATAAAAGTTAACAAAATTGACTAAATCATTTATTGGTTAAATCTTTTACCAACATGTAAAAGATACTAAACATGTATATGAATTTCATATATATAAAAATTAAATATATAACTAATATGTAACATATTCAAAAGACAGAATTAATACTGAATTATATGTGGAAAAATAATTGTGTATGAATAAAAAAGGTGAATTAATGTGTTCAGATTACACATACAAACGTGAATTAAAATTAATATGCATGCCGATGAAAAAAGAGAAGAAAAAGCAACCCCATTATGATGCATATGTATATTGAGATATTTCACATGCTACCAAATTAATTTTGGTACACATGATAAATATTCATGTCTATAAAAATTATTACCTTTACTAAACTTTGAAAAATTAAGCTATCGTGCTGATAACGTGTTATAAAAGTAAAGAACAGAGAAAAGAACGGAGAAAAGTCAATAGTCTTGTGTGTGTTTTATTAAGAACCAAAGCTTTGTATTTATAGGGCAGAATCAGGGATACAATAGTAATAATTTCTAGGACTACATGGGTATAATTGTCATTCACCTCTAAACTCTAATAAACTTATATTTTACAACAAGGTCTATTTATTTGACATGATTATTGCTGTTACTTTTACTTTTGCTTTTTATAGAAGAGTTTTTTAAGGAAACTACATTTATTTTTGTTTGGAAACTAATTTTCAAAAGAACTTCCTAATCTGAAAGTATTTTTAGAGGAAACATTGAACCAATTTTTTCTAAATCTCTTTAAACTAATAGAAGCATTTTTAATAAAATTAGTCAAATAGATCCAAAAGACAGTCTTTGAATCTCAAAAGTTCATTTTGACTTTTCAAAAATTATACCAAACATGCCATAACCATAAGATGGAGTCACTTAAAGCATTTCTAAGAGACTTTAATTTTTATAAAGTATCTTCAAAAGATTTTTTAGTTTTATATGGTATGATTATTTTAAGTAGTGGAGTATTGAAGTTTGCAATTTTGTTAAATGCATTCATGATTAAGAGTTTTTGGAGATGCTTTTAGAAGTTGATGGGGACAAATAAAGAACAAATCTTTATTATGACGACATAAAATTTAGAATCATTACTCATTTTCGCAAACAAAACCACACTCTTCATGTAAAGTACAAAACAAAGTATTAAAGAATTTCCTAAGAAAAGAATTGAGCATTTGTTAAAACTAAATAATTTTAATAAATCGAAATTGAACAAATTATAACGTGGGAACTTACAAATTGTGTTTTCGAACATATTAGCTTGGCCTTGTTCATTTTATCTTCCAGATCCTACTCTATCTCCATGGTGATGGTGATGAGATGAAGAATGCACGGACTTACTTTTGGATTCTTTTGGTTTTCTAATAGTTGCAATTTGCTCCAACGTCTCTGCAACTTCTTTCATTGAAGGCCGCTTTTTGGGTTCTGATTCAAGGCATCTCAAAGTGAGTTGAGCTGCATGTAATGCCGCCTTCGAAGAATATTTTCCCTCCATCCGTACATCCATAATGGATATTAGTTTCCTTTTCTGACAGAGAAAGGGTTTAGCATAATCAACCAAATTCTGCCGGCCACTAGGTCGTTTGGTATCAAGTGCACGTAAACCAGTCAACATCTCAAGCAGCACCACGCCAAAGCCATATACATCACTCTTTACGTAGAGATGACCTGTTTTCAAAATACCATATGCTTAAAAACATGGAATGGAGCGCGAGGATAAGTTCAATGCATTGTGAGCTTAAGTTCCAACACATTGAACTTGTTTCCAACACAGTTTTATCTATTCACCAATCTTCTTCCTCCCTTTCTTTTTCCATATAATTATTTCGTAGTGTTCACGATGCCAAACTAAAAGTGATAAGCACCCAAATCATTGCATCCTACAATAGAAATTTATTCGGACCTTTACACTACAATCTACGAAAATGGTGTGGCTGAGTCCAAAACCAGTTAGGCAACAGAACTTTAAATTCAAAAGAAAATTTTGTAAGTAAAAAGCGGGATTTTTCATAATATGCCTAATCTTATCCACTGCTGATCAGATCTAACAAGAATCAAAAGTAGTTGAGACACTAACAAAGGTATAACTTACAATCAAATAGAGACCAACGACTCACCTGTTGCAACATATTCGGGTGCCGCATAACCATGTGTTCCCATAATTCGGGTTGTTACGTGTGAATTCCCCTCTGCAGGCCCTAATTTTGCCAAGCCAAAGTCTGATATTTTTGCATTGTAATTCTGCAATACAAGAAAACAGCATTCGAGAGCTTAACTCTCGTAACATTCCACTAATTTACTACAAACAGCACTGAGTAAAATTGGAGATAAAAAGGATAATATATATTAAGATCTAGTTGGCGATTTGTGGAAAAAATGCAAGATGTTAAAACATAGGAGTTTCCACAAATTCTCTTCCATTTGAGGCATAAATGCTTGATCAATAATTAGTATTATTATTTTCATATAATCTCCATGGAATGCAAATCATTCAGTAACCTGTGTGCTGCACGCGACCATCCTGAACCCACCCCAACCCCTCAGCCCTCAAACTGAGGGAGTTCTATTATCCATTCACAAATCTAAATACTTTTAACTCGACATCATATACTCGGAGATGCTGGTTCTGCTTCCCAACAACACTGAGTTCAACAAATTCTGTCTCTAGTTTTAGATGTTAGCTTAGTACCTGAATAGCAAATGGGTAAGGAGGACGAGAAAAGATTTGATAAAAGGGAATCTTACAACTGGCAACACAGCCCACAAACAATGTAAGCTAATAACTTGTCTTTCAATTTCTTTGAGCACGTCTTCAATCAATGAGGCTCAAAATTGAATTCTGTGCAAGTTATCTTTCGCAAACTAATATGAGGACAACCTATGGAGTCACAGTATATGTGTATAAATATTTTTTTGGGACACAAAACTGTCCTAACTAAGTTGCCAACTTAAACAACTCAATTATCCATACAGATCATAACTAATAGTTAAAGAACTCATTAAATAAATTTTAAAATAAAATATCTAGTAACAAATTATTCAACAGACCTCATCAAGCAGGATGTTGGAGGCCTTAAAGTCTCTATAGATGACTTGCTTATCTGAAGTGTGCAAAAAAGCAAGGCCCCAAGCAGCTCCTATAGCTATTTTGAGCCGTATGTCCCATGATAAGGGTTCAACTGCAACACAGATCATAACTAATAGTTAAAGAACTCATTAAATAAATTTTAAAATAAAATATCTAGTAACAAATTATTCAACAGACCTCATCAAGCAGGATGTTGGAGGCCTTAAAGTCTCTATAGATGACTTGCTTATCTGAAGTGTGCAAAAAAGCAAGGCCCCAAGCAGCTCCTATAGCTATTTTGAGCCGTATGTCCCATGATAAGGGTTCAACTGCAACACTTCCTTCATATATAATAAAAAAAATAAAATAAAATCAGCATAAGAAAATCCTTTTTCCCATTCCTTGTTTTTCTCAATTTCTGGATCAAGTTCTTACTTCTAAAAAGATGGTTTTCCAGGCTTCCCCTCTGCATAAACTCATATACCAGTAAAAGCTCTTTATCTTCCCAACAGTATCCAAGGAGCTTAACCAAGTTTGGATGTGAAAGCCTTCCTAAAAAGTTGACTTCTGACTGCATTTCCAAATTAAGTTAAAATGTTGTAAATATTAACTAAGGCATCTGATGGCAAATGATATAAGAAATAAATATCAATAATGTTCCTCACACACAGACACAGCTTAAAACTTGTTCGAAATGAAATACAAGCACATCAAAAGACAATCTTGCATTCTGTAATTTACCAGAATGAAAGAAAAGCCTTGAGTTACAATGATACCAATTGATCTTGGAACAATTTGACAACTCAAATCTTGATCGTTCTGAATTAACAAAATCATTCTGGAGAAGATTTTGATATAGTCTTTTCCACATTAGTACTTGACTATAGTCAGTAAGACGTAGTTTTAGGAGCAGCAGCAAAGCCAAGTAGTCAATAAAAGTATTAATTCATTATTTTATTCCTTCTAGAAAGGATAAATCTTGGTCAGTTGACATGCACGTTATCTCAATATAAACCATGGGTAACAAGATTTTTACCCTGAAAGTTCACCCTTATCAGATTGTAAAATTCAATTCTCAACCATAAATTTGCTTAAGGATGCGCCTCTGTTTGAGATGTCACCCATCTCTCTTTTTTTAACAAACTCTTGAACTGTAAATGCATCAATCTCAAAAAGCCTATTGGTTCTAAATATTCAGTTAGGAAGTTGGCCATATAAGGACAATTAAGTAAAACTTTTTCTTTGTAGAGCTAGTTCTTGTTACTGAAACGGGGAACCATGATTCCTTAATATAGCTATCGATATGGTCATTGATTAATCTAATTCACCTAAATGACTTTCTTACTGTACTGAAATAATTCAAACCAAACAATTTCAGTAATATCACCTGCCATTCTTCAAACCCTTGTGTGCTCTCAGGGTTCAATTTCTTAATAGCAACCATTATTCCGGTACCAACTTTGGATGGTAAAAGTGTCTTCGAATCCACCCAACCCTTAAATACAGTTCCAAAGCCTCCAACCCCCAAAATCATGTCAGACTTGAAGTTCTTTGTGGCATTCCTCAAATCAGAGAAAGTATAAACCTTCAAATTTGATGTTGGCAATATCTCCCCGGACACACACGTATCATCACTTGCTGCAGCAGAAAACCGGCTAAGCCCAGCACTGCTGCTCATCGCAGAAAGACCTCCACCATTGCTGTTATTCTTTGATGTCCCTAAAATATGGATATCATGTAAATACAAGAGAATTCAACTCAATCTAGAAAATAACAACAAAAATACTGCCCTTAATTTTTCAGCAAAATGATAATTCATACATCTAATCGAAATGGATAACGTCTAAAAATAGTGGGATAAACGAAGAAAGAAAACCCTCAAGACTAGTAATAAAGTTTCTTCACTTTCTGAAGCAGGAATCGAGATACTCTATGAATTCTAAAAGACCCATAAAAGGAGACAGCATATATTCTGATATAAACGCAAAGTGAACAGACAATCAAAGAAACACGGCCCTCAAGATAAACTTGAACTCTCAAAGACCTGCAAAAGGAAACAAGCATATATTATGATAATAACACAAAGTGATGTAACAAGAAGTACACCCCACCTGGTGTAGAAGTAGAAGTTGAAGCTCTAGTGGAGCTAGAGGGATTAGGGTCAGTACCAGGCAGAGATCCAAAGCAATTCCCCATTAGAATTTACTCTCAAAATTGTGCTTTGCTTAATCTTCAATATCACTAATCATAAAAGATGTAGCTAGTATAATTTCGTTAAAGAACCTCTTTTTTTCAACAAAGTAAGGTGGAGAGAGATTGAATAAAAGGGAAAAGAGCTTTTAACATATAATATAGGATTAAAAATGATATGATTGGACAAATTGGAAAGTTCTAACATAACATATGTTATTACTTGGAAATTCCTATGTTGCTTCTATGATTTTGAGGTTAGTGTTTCATAGTATTTTCTTCTGTGCGTTGGCGCCATAATTCCTTCTGTCTTTGAACTCTTTCCTTTTTATTTCAGAGTAATTGCTTAACTAGATTTTTCAACAAGAACGCGTCTTTTATTCTACTTGCCGATTTTCTTAAAATTGCACACATATTTACACAATAGCGCACGTTTCCACTACATTTTTTTTTTTTTTGCATGACCACATTACTGACCATTTTTTACACATTTTTTTATTTTTTTACAAGTTGACGAAGTCAAGTTGCACGATTTATTAATAATATGAAAAGTAGTAATAATAATAATAATAATAATAATAATAATAATAATAATAATAATAATAATAATAATATAACAAAAGCAGAACTAGGCCTGATCACTTAATTTAAATACATTATCACGTCTTGTTAAATTATTAGATCTAAAATTTTAATATTGGATAGAGTTACATGTAGATTGTTTTATGTAGACGAGATTTTTTTTTTTTTAATTAAACCCTTACAAGTGCATAACTTCATTTAAATAAATGACTAAGAAACTTGAGCTCACTATTTTTATGTGCTCTAATATAAATTTCTCTTATTTCTTAAAATTTCTTTTGCCTGTTTCCAAGTTAGATTGTAGCATTTTATTGAGCTTAAAGAACCCTACTTTGTTCTTTGTCCCACATAGTGAATACATATATCAGTTTAGAATGTAGTATTTATTTTGTGGATTTCTTGGTCATAAAATCCATTCAAAACAAAAGTCAAAGAATATATAGATTGGACGAAGAAAATAAACAGCGTGGTCCATAAAACCAGACGCGTAGCCTTTTCAATTCAATAGCTATTATCAAGAACGTAAGATGGAGATGTATTCCCTCGTTGTACATTCCACAAATGTGGGGCTTCTCAATTCTGCAATTCAGTCAAGTTAAAATTTATCAGAAGACTATAAATAACTTGTGAAAAACACAAACACGGGCTAAGAATGTAAATAGCATCATTTTGAAAGTTTACATGATATTCTTCAAAAAAGATGGACCCATTTTATTATTATACTAGCTTATGTTCCTAAAAATCTTCGTATTTTCACTAGAAATTACCAAGAAGATGATGATGCAAATTTTTCCCTAGTGGGAATAGTTTTGAAGATTATATATTTCAGAATTTGACATCATCTTTAACATTAGAGATAAATAGAACATCAAACACTAATAAATTGATGCAAACTAAAATTCATCAGAATTTAAGAAAAATTTTGGAAAGCCTTCAAGAGACCGTTCGAGGCAATTGTGGTCATGTTTTAGGTATGAAACTTTATTTACAAGTCAATACTTGATAATTTGGGCTTGATCAATGAGTATTCAAAAGTTTTCTTTCCACCCCTTTTCTTCTTAACTTGGCCTAAGATCAGTTTCTATCGACTAGACCAATTTATTATTCAAATACTTTTTGTACAGAAGTGGGTTGGTAGCATCACTTGTAGAATAAAGTTCCCTCAACAATTTAACAATAAAAATATGGAAATGTCACCCAAGATGATCTCCAGTGGAGCAGACTGAATTCATTTGTTGATTAAAAGTTTAACGTGCATAATTTTTTAAGGATAAAGTGATTGAGAGATTAATACATATTAAAAGTTTTATATATATATATATATATATATATTAATACATATTAAAAGTTTTATATATATAAATTTATATTTTTTTTTTTTTTTTTTTTTTTTTTTTAAGTAGTGATATCACCAAAATATCTATTAATACCATGTTATACTAACAGTATAAAGGAGATAAGGTCTCACTAATGAATAATATATTATCAATTAAGAGGAGTGTTGGAATCTTGTCAATGAGAGACTTTCATCAACAATATAAGAGGAGTCGCGTTTATTTATTAAAATAGAATTAATACACATAGAATCAGTTTGTGACAAACAAGAAAATATTTTAAAAGAATATATTTAACTTTTTTCTATCAAGAAATATGAATTTTGAGGCCTCAACAAAATCTTAGCAAGTAATAATTTAGGGTTTTAGATGTCCCATCTAAGCCCCATTATTAAAAATCTTTTTCTTTTTTTCTAAATTCATCTTCAATCAAATATTTTTTAGTAAAATAATTTTACACGTAAATTAAAAAATTTCCTACTTCTTAATCATAAATTCTTCAAAAAATAAAAAATAAAAATAAAAATAAATCATTTTTATTAAAATCTATAGTGAAAAATGAGTTAGAAGACTTGAATGTGTAGATGAGAATGAAATACGTGTTCGTATTCATAAGTTATTGGATGCATGATAATGGAAGAAATAAAAAGTTGAAAAGTTGAATAAAAAGAGTTAAAAATAGGAAGTTAACGGGATTTTGTCAAAAGTGGAATTAGACTATAGGATTAAAAACGCTCCAACGTTTGACTAAGGAGTCGGAGAAAATAAAGTCCATGAGTAATTACCATAAAGTTGTATTTTTCTAATACAGGATTTTAGTTAAATAATATAAACTGTCTATCTTATTAGGGATGGGCGCGGGTCATTTCGATTCGATTTTAAAGAGAATCAAATCGAACCAAAATTTTTGGGTATCTAGTAAATGGAACCGTCAGGTCCAAATATAATTATGAAACTGTTCGAGTTCGATTCCGTTCGGTTCCGTTCGGTTCTGTACTATAATTAAATTTTTTAACATTTATAACCACATTATATAAATACAATTAATGATACATTCAATAGTTTTGGAATGTCAGAGACTAGTAGACTATCTTATTCAAATGATCGCTACAGTCAAAGCTTCGATCGACGGAGGTCACAGTTTCGATCGAATGTCACAATGTCGGCAGACGATTATATAGGTTTTAGAATGTTAGCGAGACTGCGAGAGTGAGTGCGAGACAATGTTATGCACTTTAGTGTAGGTGTTTATGGTTATTTAGTGGATTGAATCTTGTTGGACTAAGAAATGAAACAATAAAATGGTTAATTGGGCCAAAAATTAAAAAATTAGAAATGATACAAATTATTGGGCCAAAATTTTGGATTTAGAAATTATTAATTTGTTAATTCGTTTAGAAAAAATTAAAATTAAAATAATTTAATTTACTCAATATAAAAAAATTAGAAAAATTCGGTTCTTATTCGATTTTTTGGTTCTTGGTCTAGAACCGAAAATCGAACCGTACCCGTCAGTTCTTAATTCAAATACTCGTTCGGGTATTTAATTCGACAAGAATCGTCGGGTTCTATTCAGTTCGGTTCGGGAGATTTGCCCATCCCTATTCTCTATATATCCCCATCCCACTCCTCAAAAATAAAAAACAATTAAAAAGGAAAGTTACCATTTTCTATTTTCAGTTTTGGCCATCAGTTACTGATTTTTTTTTTATATTTTTTTAAATATAAGTTAAACGCAGAATAATGCAAACATTGGACGATCCAATTATTAATGACTCATTTAACTAAAACAAGCATCTGAGATGAGTAATGTTATTCATTAATGCTGATGATGAACAAATATAACAAGGTAATTATTCAACACTCACTTTAAGGAAGAGATAGTAAAGACTAATTAACATTAAAAATAACAGGAAAGACTCAATCTACAATTTTAATTCTTATATCATGCAATGTTTAGAAGGGGGAAAATCAACAAACCAGAAAGGCTTCATTTCAAGCTCTCAAATTATTTTCTTTTACTATCTTCATTTTCATTAATTTTTATTTGGACAATCTACATATACTCACACTTTTTACAAAATGGTTTACTCATTACTCACAACAAAGGGTGAGGACTACAAGCCGTCATTTTTAAAAAGCACCTAGGACCCGTACATATGTGAGAGTGAGCGAAAGACTTTGTACACCAAAATTTGTACATATATATTTATCCTTTTTATTTTAATCCATATAATATCTAGTTGTATTTTCAACAAAAACGTTACATTATCTACAATTTCTTTTAGAATAAAATGATTCAAAAAATTATATCATCTACGAAGCATTGATTTCAGCAAAATATTTTCCATAATATGTCAATACAAACCCCAAAATGCAGAGAAACTTCTACTTCAGATATAGCAAAACATCTATCAGACATTTGAAAGAAGGGGAAAAGATGAATCGGTTCACAAGGGGAGAAAGAAAATTTTGCAACAAAATGCTGATACCACCCTCATTACTTTCGCGATCTTGTTGCAGCCCTTCTTGCTTCATCTGGCATTGAGGGATAGAGTTCCACATATCGTGATCCAATCAACATCTTGTCCTTGCACATTGCTTTCTTTGCCTCTTCGGCTGAGGTAAACTCCACATATGCCTCTCCAGTAGCTTTCCCATCAGATCGCAATGCAATCTGGATCTTATCATCTGGGACGTTGAAATCTCCAAAAAATTTAACAATTTCTGATTTTTTGACAGAGTACGGGAGTCCACGTAACTTCAAGATCTCTGTATACTCCATATTATTTTTGTCTGGAGACCTCTTGCGTCGAGGTGGAGATGAGGTTCCATGGTAGTCGATACTGCCATAAGCTCCTTCATTAACCTCAGCTGCTATAGCATGGTAATATTCCTGCCTTTTGCACCTAAAAACTTCGACATACCTCCTCCCCATGTTTTGTCGATCCCTCAGAAGAGCAAGCTCTGCCTGCATCGGTCCGCTAAAGACCACAAAACCTTCTCCAGAAAATCGCCCATCCTTGTTAACCAAGAACACATCCACAATGTCCAACCCAGCAAAGAACTTGAAAATGTCAACATCTGAACAATTAAAGGGAAGACCCCTTACACGTACGACGGGGAAGGCAGAAGGCTGATATCTACTGGCACTACCATAGCCATAAGGTTGATAGCCACTTGAACCGCTGCTCACTGCCAAGTAGGGATTTGATTCCATCATTCTAGGTCTCTTTGAGCCGATCTCGTACCCGTCCGAAACCCCCCCCGCTCCCCAACATTGCCCTTCAATTATTCATACCAAGGAAGGAAAAATTCCCCCACTCAACCTTGTTAATAAAGCCAATCCCAACCCATATTTTTCCTAAAATCTAATGCTCTAAATAGTATATCAAGATCAAGATTTATCATATCCATGAACCCAACTATAAATAAAAGA